GAGAGACAAAGTTTGGCCATCCTGGCCTCCAAGGAGCACTCTGGCTGCACTTCTTTCAACACAGATCTGTTGGTTCTTTTGGCAGCCCATGGCACTTTCAATATTCTCCTCCAACACCATAACTCAAAAGCATCAATTCTTCCACAATCTTCCTTATTCACTGTCCAGCTTTCACATGCATATGAGGTTATTGAAAATACCATGGCTTCGGTCAGGCAGACCTTAGTCCTCAAGCTGACATCTTTGTTCTTCAACACTTTAAAATGGTTTTGTGCAGCAGATTTGCCCAATTCAATATGTTGTTTAATTTCTTGACTGCTGCTTCCATGAGTGTTGATGGTTGATCCAAGAAGAATGAAGTCCTTGACAACTTCAATCTTTTCTCCACTAATAAGAATATTGTTTATTGGTCCAGTGGTGAGGATTTTTGTTTTCTTTGCATTAATATGCAGCCCATACTGAAGGCTATGGTCTTTGATCTTCATCAGTAAGTATTGTAAGTCCTCTTCACTTTCAACAAGCTAGGTTGTATCATCTGCATATCGCAGGTGTTAATGAGTCTTCCTCCAATCCTGATGCCATGTTTTCCTTCATATAACCCAGCGTCTTGGATTATTTGCTCAGCATACAGGTTGGATAAGTATGGTGAAAGATTACAACCCTGGCACATACCTTTCTTCATTTTAAACCATTCAGTGTTCCCATGTTCTCTTCGAACAGCTGCCTCTTGGTCCATGTACAGATTGTTCATGAGCACAATTAAGTGTTCCAGAATACTCATGCTTCACAATGTTATCCATAGCTTGTCATGATCCACACAATCGAAAGCCTTTGCATAGTCAATAAGCACAGATAAACGTCTTTAGGGTAGTCTCTGCTTTTAGCCAACATCCATCGGACATCAGCAATGATATCCCTAGTTCCATGTTCTCTTCTGAATCCGGCTTGAACTTCTGGAAGTTCTCTGGCAATGTGTGATTGCAGCTGTTTCTATATTACCTTTAATAAAACTTTACTTGCATGGGATATCAAAAGATAATATCCGATGATTTCTGCATTCCATTGGGTCACCTCTCTTTGGAATAGGCACAAATACAGATCTCTTCACATCAGTTGGACAGATAGTTGTCTTCCAAATTTCTTGGCATAGATGATTGAGTGCTTCCAGTGCCGCCTCACTTTTCTGAAAGATTTCAATTTTCATTCCATTAATTCCTGGTGCCTTGTTCTTTGTCAATTCTGTCAATGTACCTTGGGCTTCTTCCTTCAGTAGCATTGGCTCTTGAGCATATGCTACCTCTTGAAATGGGTGAGCATCAACCATTTCCTTTTTCATAGAGCATTTTATTTTGGAAACCTTGTGATTGCAATTTTTTTATTTGCCTGTTTTAAGAAATTCTTTTGAAAAGCTAAGTAGCTTCTAGTCAATTTTGCAACCCAAGAATGATTCCTAAAGTATATGGGAGCCATGTCTTTAAAATATAAAGAAAGGGTAAGAAGCTAACTCAGCAGGTTCCCAGCTGTCAAACTACCTCCTGTCATAAAGACTTGGAAAGTTTATTTCTCCTTTGGATAAATGTGATTGGCAGACTATAGTGAGTACCTCAACCCCAAGGTGAATTTAGGATAAGCAGTGTGTGACAAATGGTGCTGTCACGTTCTCTTATTTTTGGACTGTTGCAGTTTTTCTATCTGCTATTGAGTAGATTTTGACTCCTGGAGACCCCAGGTGTGTAGGAGCTTGCCTCCATAGTGTTTTCAAGGCTGAGATGCCTTTTAGTAGGAGGTTGAGTGCTTAACCAATTGCCCCACCTAGCAGTCCTGATGTTGCACTGTGGGTGAATGCGCCTGACTGCAAAGCCGTTTGAACTGCAAGGTCGGTGGTTCAAGCTCACCAGCCACTCCTTGAAAACCCTATACATGGTCCCTATGGGTTGGAACTGACTCAACAGCACTTAACAACAACAGGGTTTATTTAAGGAGTAGTTATCATTTGCCTGAAGAAGCACTGGTGGCTCAGTGGTAAGCATTCAGATGCTAACTGAAAGGTTGACTGTTCAAACCCACTAGCCACTCCACAGGGGACAGATATGGGTGTCTGCTTTCCATAAAGATTGGAGAACCTATGGGACAGTTCTACTCTGTCATATTGAGTCACTATGAATTGGAATTGATTCTATGGCAACAGATTTTATTTTTATTTGTGTGTTTGTTTTTGTTGTTTTTAACATCGACCTTGAGAACATTTATGGGTTGCCTCTAGTTAGCCATACAAATGCTGTCACTTCATTCTGTCTTTGAAATCTCTTTACTGGATTGCCTGCGATGTGTCCCGCTCTGTTTTCATGCTTATTCAATAACGATGTTGTTCTTCAGTGCCTTTGAATCAGTTCCAACTCAAAGAAACCTTGTATAGGGCTTCCAGGAAGGAGCTAGTGAGATTGAACCACTGACCTTGTAGTTCAAACTGACCTTACAGTCCAGTGCTTTATTCCACAGTGCCATATGAGGACTCCTATTCAATAATAAAGCTTGATAATTTTTGTGGAGAGTTTTTCTGATTTGGGAGTAGATTTGGATTTTAATTATATTTCCCCAGCACGTGCAGAGATTTACATGACTTGCCTCCACACTGGGACACCTCCAACCTTTTCTCTCACCACTTTTGTCCTCATTTCCTCTTCTCTGGCCTCACTGCCGTCCCTTCAACAGACCAGGCACTCTACTCTGCCCCCTCCAACTCCCTTCCTGCTTTTGGCCTATGTGGGAGCTTCACCTTCTCAATGAAGCCTCATGTGACTGCCCTGCCCCCACCCCACCTCAGGAGTTCCCATCCACTTCCCAGCTCTGCTCTGTATTTTTTTTCTTACTATTTATCATGACAAAATAATATGTTTTTGTTGTTATTACTAATTGCTGCTGATCAGATCCCAACTCTTGGCAACCCTATACTGCAAACTAGAACTGCTCCATAGGGTTTTTTAAGTTGGGACCTTTTAGAAACTGATTCTCAAGCCTGCCCTCTGAGGTACCTCTGGGTGGGGTTGAGCTGCCAACCTTTTGTGTCTAGTCAAATACTTAACTGTTTGTATCTCCATAAGGACTTTAAAAAATAATATATACATAAGTTATTGACTATATTCATTGTTTGTACCCTAACACTTAGGAGCCCTGGCACCATAGTGGATTATGAGTTAGGCTGCTAACCACAAAGTTACTAGTTGGCATCTACCAGTCCCTCCATGGGAGAAAAATGAAGCTTTCTGTTCCTGTAAAGATTTACAGCCTCGGAAACCTAGTACAGAGTCACTGTGAGTCAGAACCGATTCGGTGGCACACAACCACCACCACCACCCTCACACTTGAATGTAAGCTTTAACAAAGGAAACATTCTGTTTTGGTCAATGATGTATCCCAAGCAGCTAGAAAGGTGATTGGTGCTGCATGTATATTTGTTGGAAAACTAAATGAAATGTAATTAGAAAAAAAATTATTAACATTAGAAAATATATTTTGGTTTATGGTTCATAGAGGTGCTGGATGAATATGTGTGTATGTGTGTTTTGAAGACAATGTAATTCATAAATAGTTTAGCTCCATAACATTCAGTTGTTGAAGAGTAAAATAGAATATTAAATTACTCCATGTGCAGGATTTTCCCACTCAGTTAATTCTGTGTATCTATCTTTCATTTTTAACATTATTTCTTAAACTTATCAAAAACTAAAAGATAAACTTTTCCTGTAGCTCTATAGGGATAGTTTTCCTGAAATTCTAACTACAGTAGTAGTTGACATCATTATATATGATCCTAATACAAGGGTTAGGATACGGTGAAACTGTGATGCTGGAGGGATGATAAGCATTCTTTAGTGTATCGTGTTGAGCTCCTAGATTGTACTGGCTTTGCCTGTAAGTCACCCCCCTCCACCCCATCATGGTCTTAGAATTCTTTGTATTGTACTACTAATAGCTGAACCTAGTGAATAGCATGCTTGGGTGTTTTCCATTGTCAGTGGATGGACCTCTTTATAAAGGTGGTTGCTGCAAATCCCAATTCTTCCCCAAACCACTTTAGTTAAGGGTTATCCACACACTATATCCATTTTAATAAAGTTTTTATTTCCTAAATGTTTACTAACCATGTTATGCCAAATGTCTTTCAAATAAATATTACTAAAAAAATATTGACGTTAATTATACTAGATAATTTTTACTGAGCATTTACTGCGTGCCTGTCAGTGTGTATACATCATCAGCTCTTCCAATGTTCTCAACATAGATATCATACCTATGAAGCAGGTATCATTAATGCTGCCAAACTATAGAGAGGAATAGAATCCTGGTGTGGTGTTGTAGAGTAAGTACTGGACTGCTAATTATAAGCTAACTGCAAGGTTATTGATTCAAACCCAATAGCCACTCCTTGGAAATCCACTACAGGGTCACAATGAGTTGACTCTGTAAAAACATGGAGAGAAAATTGAGGGTTAGAAACATTAAATTATTTTAAACTTTCATAGCCAATATAGCTTAGAATGACTTTTGTGGACCCGATTCAAGGATTCCATTGTTGTTCTTATATAACTTATTGATTCTGTAGAGTTTCATTTTGGAAAAGGATATTTGAACTATTTAGTTCACCCTTTGCCTCATGGCTTTGCAGAAGAAAAAGTAGACAACTTTTGCCATCTTAAGACCATCCTTCCAATCATAAAACTAGCCTGTTTCTCAACTCTTTCCATTTCACTTTCAAATGTGGGGGTTTTTTTTTTGTTTGTTTGTTTTTCTTCCTCATTCTTTGTGGCACTGCGGGTTAATGTGCTAGATTGCAAAGTCGGTTTGAACCGAAAGGTCAGTGGTTCAAGCTCACCAGCCACTCCTTGGAAACCCTATACAGGGTCGCTATGGGTCAAAACCAACGCGACGACACTCAACAACAACAACAACTCCAAATTAGTCCCAATGGTTGTCTCATTTATACAATTTTTTTCCCCTAGGAGAACGATATAAATTTGACTCACATTGAATCCAGACCTTCACGTGTGAAAAAAGATGAGTATGAATTTTTCACTTTTCTGGATAAACGTAGCATACCTGCTCTGGCAAACATCATCAAGATCTTGAGACATGACATTGGAGCCACTGTTCATGAACTTTCCCGGGATAAGAAGAAAGACACAGGTAAGAATTAAAGAGTATAGTGACAAAAATAACTCCAGATCATTTTCATAAAGTAATGGCAAAGGTAATAGCTACTCTGGAAGATTAAGCAAGAAGATGTAGATAAGGTATCAAGACCAGCAACTGACACATTATGTTGTTGTTGTTGTTAAGTGCCATCGAGTCAGTTCTGACTCATAACAATCCTGTATAGGGTTTCTGAGAAGCAACTGCTGGGCTTGAGCTGCCAGCCTGACAGTTAGAAGTCCAGTGCGTATCCTTGTTGTTGTTGTTAATTGCCGTCTAGTCGGTTCCAATCCATAGCGACCCTGTATAGGGTTTCCGAGGAGCAGCTGGTGAACTTGAACTGCTAACCATGCAGTTCAAATGGCTTTGCAGTCTGGTGCATTAATCCACAGCGCCACACCAGGACTCCATGTGTATCCTACAGTGTCTTAATATAACAAACAATTGCCACTGAGTTGATTCCAACTCATGGTGTTCCCATATGCAGGAATAAGACTACTCCATAGAGTTTTCATAGCTGTGACTTTTTGGAAGTTCCAACTGACAGTCTTTCAGTTAACAACCAAGTACTTAACGGTATGCATCACCCAGGAACTCCTAGATACTTAATTGTTGTTAAATGCTATTGAGTTGGCTCTGATCCATAGTGACCCACTATAGGGTTTCTGAGGAGCAGCTGGTGGGTTTGAACCACCAACCTTGAAGTTGGCAGTCTAGTGCTTATCTTATAGCACCACATTAGGACTCCTCCAGCTATTTCTCCTTTTCTTCCAGGTAACTATTTCTTATGTCAGTAGGAGCATAAAAACACTTCTTTTTTAAGTTATTATTGTGAATTATGTGATAGTTTACACAGGAGAACATAAGCTTTACATTCGTCCTATCTTATTTCGTTTCATTGCAATAATTACAATTCCCTGCATGCATCATTAAACAGTAAAAGGGTACATCCCACAAGCCTGCCTCCTGGCCGTCAGCACACAGACCCTCTCCCTCCCTGAGTCCATAGTCCGCAGCCACTCCATCTTTCCACATCATCATCTGCCTCCATCTCTGAAAGTTGCTGCTTCTCTGGACAGGGTCCCGCACTCTGCTCTTCTCCCTTGCCCACACCTTTTTTTTTTTTTAATGTACACATACCACACAGAAAATATATATTTGTTTAAATGCCCCAAATGCACATTTTGCAAAGCAGACTCTTGCATGCAGACACCCAACCTTTCTTATTCCATGGGCCCAGCTGCTCTATCTCTCTGTGTCATCTCCTCTGCTTCTGTCTCTGCTGCTGTGGCTTTTCTGGTTAGGATCCCACACTTTACTTATTCTCTTCCTGCTTGATGCTCCTGGGGTCCTCTGTTCCTGAAATGAAAGCTTAACTACTCCCCCCTTTTAGTTTCACGTCTTCTACATTTACAGTTACGACCATTGCCTTAAGTCCTGATAACAGCTAATCACTATTGAATCATAAAATTCTATCCCCATACTCCCCAACCCCTTTAACCAGACCCATCTAGACAAGAGGAAAACTATTCATGGGGATTCTACATTACCGGTCTCACATGAAACTAAGTATACTCATGAGAGCTTGTAAGCCAGCCACTTCCTGCCTTTATGGCCTCCTACCCCATTTTTGTAGCCAATGTCTGTTGACCGTGATATCAACCCAGTGTACTGAGGAGGCACATATGATCTTTGATATTAGCATAGTGTTTAGCAAAAAAGTTCTCAGCAGATATTTGTGAGGGAATGAGTAAATACACACACTGTTGAGACTGGATTTGTCTTCTTACCTCCCTGCTGGCATGCTGCCCATGGCTGTTTCCTGGAACATCATAGAGCAGTAATCTAATAGGGATGATTTAGGGTTAGACAAACTTCTGTTCAAGTCCTACCTCTGCTACTTGCTAGTTTTGAGACATCTGGCCAATTTTTTACCTCTCTGATGTTCAAATGTTCATAGAATTTTGTGAGAATGAAATGAGATCATGCATAAAGTCAATACTTAGAACAGTGCCTGGGACGTTGTGCGATTGTTGTTGAGTCGGTTCTAGCTTATAGCGACAAAAGAACCAATCACTGCCTGGTCCTGTGCTTTCCTCACAATTGTATGCGTGAGCCCATTGTTGCTGCCACTAAGTCAGTCCATTTTGTTAGGGGTATTCCTTTTTCTCACTGACCCTCCATTTTTGTCCTTCTCCAGGGACTGACCCATCTTGATAAGAAATCAGAAGTATGAGAGACAAAACCTCTACCTCCTTGTTTCTAAGGAGCATTCTAGCTGAACTTCTACCAAGACACATTTGTTTGTTCTTCTGGAAGTCCATGGCACTTTCAGTGTTCTTCACCAACACCATCACTCCTCAAATGCATCAATTCTTCTATAGTCTTCCTTACTTATTGTCCAAGTTTCACTTGCTTATGAGGTGATTGAAAATACCATGGCTTGGGTCAGACACACCTTTGCTGTTCTGACATCTTTATTTGTCTGATGCAATCCATCATTTGATTTCTTAACTGCTGCTTCCATGAGCATCAATTGTGAATCCAAGCAAAATGAAGTCTTTGACAATTTCCACCTTTTTTCCTTTTATCATGATGCTAGTTATTGGTCCAGTTGTGAGGATTTTTGTTTTCTTTACATTGAGGTGCAGTCCATATGGAATGCTGTAGTCTTTGGTCTTTGTCAGTAAATATTTCAAGCTTTATTTGCTTCCAGCAAGCAAGGTTGTATCATCCATATATAACAGGTTGTTAATGAGTCTTCTTCTAACCCTGATTGCATTCATTCTCTTCTTCATATAATCAGGTTACTCAGATTATCTGCTCAGTATAAAGACTGAATAAATATGGTGAAATGATACAACACGGATGCACACGTTTCCTGATTTTAAACCATTGAATATCCCCTTGTTCTATTTGAACAACTGCCTCTTGGTATATGTACCGGTTCCTCATGAGCAATTAAGTGTTCTGGAATACCCATTATATACAATGTTATCTATAGTTTGTTATGATCCACACAGTCAAATGCCTTTGCATAGTCAATGGTGCATTGTAGGGCTGAATAAATGAGAGCATGCAGTTCTTGTCATGGTTAATTACCCTTAAAAGGATGTAGAGGACAAAGTGGCTGCTTTGTAGAGTCTAAAGCATATTCAGATAAATAATTATTTCCCCTAAATAATCAAATTATTATTATTTTTTCATTGTAAAATCAAAAGTTTCTTGGTAGAACTTTGAAGCTCTTTGTTTTTGTTGTTAAGTGCCATTGAGTTAGTTCCAACTCATAGTGATCCTGGTGGGTTTGAACTGTTGGCCTTATGGTTAGCAGTCCAGTGCTTATCCTATAGTGAGATAATATCAGCATCCAAGGCTGAAAATAACATTTATATAGATAGGGATGAGCCAGGACCCACCTCCTAGCACAGATCCCTGAAACATCTGAATGGCAGCTTCCAGGTCTTTGTGGGAGATGGCTCATTTTCTGCCCTCAGCCTCCTGTGGCTGTAGCCAAGGAAGCCCAGCCCAGGGTCCTGCCTTGCTGAGGGTGGAAGGCTGTGCATATGGGCTCAGGTCACGGGTGTGCGCACTTGGAATTCCACCTCAGATCTATCAGAGCACGTGCCAGGCAGGCAGGCAGGCAGGCAGGCAGGCAGGCAGGCAGGCGGGGGGGCCTCTTGGGGAAGGGCACGAACCTCAAACTGGAGGCTCCAGAAAGAGGTCCTTGGTGGGGATGTGGAAGAACAGGTGGGATCCCTGACCCCAGGACCAGGGCTCACCACAGTTAATATGACTGTGTGCAAATTTCAGACCCACTCAGCCTCCCATTGTACACAATGGGAGTGACGAGAGCCTCTGCCTTATAGGATTAACTAAATCACACAAATAAAACAGCGAGAACAGTGCAAAGCATGTTTTAAGCACTTAGAAGATATTCTTTATTCTTACCACCATCATCATTGTTGTAAATATATTGTTGTTGTTAAGTGCCATTGAGTTGGTTGCGACTGTTAGCAACCCTATATAGGATTTCTGAGGAGCGACTCATGGGTTTGAACTACCAACCTTGCAATTAGAAGTCCAGTGTTTAGCCTACAGCACCACACCACGGCTCCAAATAATGGTACGTTGTTGTTAAGTGTCATTGAGTTGGTTCCAACTCATAGCGACCTTGTATAGGGTTTCCAGGGAGTGACTGGCGAAAGCACCCATAAAAACAAACCAAAACTAAGCAAAATCCACTGCTCTTGGGTCTGTTCCCACTGTGCTTACCTCATATGCTACAGAGCAGCATGCTCCAAAGGGTCTTCTTGGCTGTAATCATTGTAGAAGCAGGTCACCAGGCATATTCTGCAGTGTTAACAGGATGGATTTCAACTGTCAGTCTGTAGGTTTAAAATCCAGGACAAACTGTCTGCACTACCCAGGGGCTTTGGCATGAGCACAGAGACCTTCAAAAGCCACCTAAGTTCTTTTCCATACGTCCCGAGATTTGGACAATGACCTCAGAGGTTGTGTACCTCAATAGACTCCTTAGGTTTTGACTGTACAAGCTGAGGCCATGTCTTGTCTTCAGGCACAGAGTGGATTCTGTGCAGTTGAGAGCCAGTGTGTGCTGAGTGCTGCTGAGGAAAAGGCACTGTGCTTGGAGCTAGAGACAGAGGGGGCAAACTGCCTGTGTTGAAGGAGTTCAGGGGCTTGCAAGGGACATGCAAGACCCAGGCGGATATAACTAAGCAATAGGTGTTGTCAGGGTTGATGGAATTTGGTCTCAGTTCCACTTGCAGGTTCCTCACCTCATTGTTCAGTGTGGCAAGGCATTTATATTTGAAGTTGACTTGGCATTTTAACTGGTGATGAAAAACTGCTGAGGCTGTTCCTTTCGAACAGCATGACCCTTGTTCTGTCAGATGGTTAGTCACCCTGTTCCACATTGGCTGCCTCCACCTGATACCTTTTGCTGACCTTATTTTACCTAGGGGAGAACTCTCACT